GAACAAAACAGAAATAGACTCATAGATTTAGAGAACAGACCGGTGGTCTCTATGGGGAAGGGGAGTGAAACAGGTGAAGGGGATAAAGAGGCATAAAATCTCAAGTATAACATAAATTAGTCACAGGGATGAAAGTACAGCATATGGAATATAGTCAGTAATATTGTAGTATCTTTCTATGTTGACAGATATGCTTATTGGGGTGAGCATTTAATAATTTAGGTAACTACTGATTTTCTACATTGTACACCTGAAACCAATGAAATATATCAACTGTACTTCAATAAAAATATATTTTAAAAAAAGAACATAGGTCTTGAGAACAAAAGCTTTGAGAAACACTGCATTATATAACTAAAAATGTTTTTCTACTATGAAAGTTAGCAGAACTTTTTCCAGGGTTTTTTTTTTTGCAGTTTTTTAAAAGTTTGTTACTGTAGTATTTAAATGTTACATTAATAATGTATATTACTATTAATATTAAAAGAAATATATTAAAATGGGGCTTTAATTTTGACAGGACCCTATTCAATAAATTTACTGAAGTACAAGCCAAAATAAAGGTATAAAGCCAATCCTAAATACATAAATAAATATGTAGTCTGATTTACTGCCTGCCCCACTGTAGAGAACTCAGCAAGTTCAATCCCTGGTATGTGGAATCAGGCAGACCACATCACACTAAGCAGGGGAGAAACAAACTCCAGAAGGGGGTCGTCTCTACTCAGAGCTTCAACTGTTTGTCTCTCTAGCCATATAACTACTTCTAAACTTCTGTGCTCTTAAATTACTGAGACATGAGACTTGGTGTTCTGTCACTTCCATCAACTAACAAAACAAGCCTGCACCCAACTTATAAGATGATATTCAGCAGGAACTTTTTCACAGCTCAATTTATTTACAGGTAAACTTGAAGAAAGGTTTTACTCACAAGGGGAATAAGAATTGTGGCCTGAAATCCTTCCTGCAATGAGATAATCTATAAACAAATAAGCAAAGTTGCCTGTCACAAGTTCCAGCTTAAGAATAGACTTTTACAACAAAAAAGCTATACCAGAAAAACAAGAAAACACCTACTGACAGCCATCCTTAGGACAGCACAGAACATACAGAGCAGCACGAGACTTTACTGCAATTGCGAGGGACACTCAGGAGTTTCCTGGGTTTTAGTTAGTTTGCAAGAAGAAACACCACAATCATGCTCCTAGATTTCTCTCTTGCCCAATTAGTGTACTGATTATAACTTACTGAGTTTGAAGAAAAAAGACTGACTTAGGGTTGGATGAAATAAAAATTTAAAAACTAAAGGAGTCAAATTATAAAAGCTACATTAAGGAATTCAACAGTAAGTATTTCAGATCCTAGATTGATTACAGAGATTATGAAAAATAAATTATACATTTAGGAGGCATGAACAGGCTACAATGTGGCGAGTAATTACCCTCAGAAGGGATGTAGAGGCTCCCCATTCAGAAAAGGGCTAGTACAATGTGACAGCCGAAGTGAGATTGATTTAAGAAAAGTGCTCATAATAAGAAATGTTGATTCCAATATAATTTCAATCACAAGAAAAAGGAAGCAGTTTATATCTTCCAACCAAACAAAGCTGCCAAGTTCAGTGGAAGAAGGACACCCCTTCAACAAATGGTACTGGAACAGCTGGAAGAATGGAGCTAAACTTTGCCCTTATACAAAAGTTAACTCAAAATGGATTGTCTTTGATCCTCACAGTAAAACATAAAACCATACGACTTGTGGATAAAAACACAGTAGAAAATCTTTAAGGTTGCTTGCAAAGGGAGATAGAAATAGGTGAAGAATTCTGAGACTTGACACCAAAGTACAATTCATAGAAGAAAAACCTGATAAACTATGCCACACCAAATTTAAACTGTTCCCTCTGAAAAACTCTGTGAAGAAGACCAGCTACAGATGGAGAGAGAATATTCGCAAGCCACATATCCAACAAAGGATTCATATCTGGAATATATAAAGAACTCTCAAAAACCAACAGTAAAAGCACAAACAGCCCAGTTAGAAAACAGGCAAAAAAAACATGAACAAAATAAATATGATCTACAGATAGTAAATAAGCACATGGAAAGATAAACAACTTCAATGGCCATTAGAAATAATGCAAGTTAAAACCAGACAGTGATACACACCTGTCAGAATGGCTAAAAGACAAGAGTGCTAACATCCAATATTGGCAAGGACATGGAGAAACTGGATCATTTGGCATTGCTGGTAGAAATGGAAAATGACACTGCTACTCTATCAGAGGGAAGGGCACTTTCTTACAAAACCAAACTGCTGGGATGTGCTCTAACTCCCTGGTATGTCCATACCATGGAATACTACTCGGGAATAAAAAAAGAACAGACCCTTGATATATGCAACAACTTGGATGGAGCTTGGGAAAAAATGAAATCTGCTAATATCAAAAGGTTAGAAACTGTATGATTCTATCTATGTAACATTCTTAAAAGGACAAATGACAGAAATGATGAGCAGATTAGTGGGAACCATAGGTTGGCAGGGAAGGCAAGAAGGTATCTGTGTTTATGAAAGTGGGTAATAGGGGATCTTTGTGATGTAACAGTTCTGCATCTTGACTATAGCGATGGACACATGAATCTACACATGATAAAACTGCACATAACTAAACAAACACAAAAGAGTGCACATAAAATTGGTGAAATCTGAATAAGGTTACTGGATTGTATCACCTTATCACAACGAGTTTCCTGGTTGTACTGTTATATTCTAGTTATGCAGTATGTTACCACTGCGGAAACTGGATAAAGAGTACATGGGATCTCTCTCTATAATTTTATGCATGTGAATCTACAATTAATTCAAAATAAAAAGTTTTAAAACTTTTAAAAATCCAGTAAGAAAAAAAAGTAAGAAATGAGGACACTATCCAGCTAACAACTATTCCGGGCTTCACAGATGACCGATCTTCATGCTCCCAGTGGGCAGCCACATGATCTGTCTCCATCTGCAACTCAAAAGGACTTAGGCCATTTTTTCTCTCGTCCTTCTTTCTCCTCCCCCCACCAGCACTCCTCAACCCTCTTCATAACTGGTTACAATAAAGAACCACAGTATATGTGTGTGTATGCACTGCAATTCCAAGTTCTCTCTAGTTTTATGCAAACAGAATTTTTTTTATTATTCATTTGGTTTTTATACTTGATTTATATGTGAATCCTACATTTCTCCCTTATTTTTTTTTTTTTAGTAAAATGCTGAAGTGGTAGGTAGATGCAAGATAAAGGTAGAAAACATAGTTTAGTGTTGTAAGAGAGCAAATGTAGATGATCAGGTGTGTGCCTGTAGACTATGTGTTAATCCAAGCTAGACAAGGGCAATAAAACATCCACAGGTGCAGAAGATTTCTCTCAAAACAGGGGGGTGAGGTTCTAAGCCTCACCTCTGTTGATCCCCAATTTCTCACCTGATGGCCCCCCTGCAACTGTGCCTGTCTTAGGTTGTTCCTCCCTTGAGGAATCTTACCCGTCTCTGGCTAACCAGTCATCTTCC